CCGTTTACTACGAAGCCATACGGCTTTAAAAGAAATTTCAAAAGCTGTGTTCAAATGTATTACACAGTCTCGTACATTTATTTATTTCTATTTGTGCTTACAAATAAAACGATTTGTGTACCTTCGTTTAAATGGGAGTACAGAATTAATTACGTTATTAATCCCTTGACGTACGATTTAATTCCAAATAATTGTTCAATTTTATTTGAAAAAAGAATAGATTTGTTTTACGAGTACCTCGTTGATTTTAATATTATAAGACTCATGATTGTGTAAACTTGACGTAGAATCGCAAGATTAAGGGTACTGTCGATTTATTTATTTCACTTTCTGCTCCAATACTTTTCTTTTACAATATTAACTTAAATCCAATGAAACAGTTTGTGCTGGTTCGTTCGGTCGGGGGGGGGGGCACAGATTTAATAAAATTATTAATAGGCACGGTACGGCAAGGTTAAGGGTGGTTCACCTTGAACCAGCCGCTTTAATTTCGTCCCCGTTTTCGTATTAGACGCACCGGGGCGTGTGTACTTTCCTCTCGTTCAGAAAATTGCATATCGATAAAGGGGGGGCCTGGGTACGCTCTAAGCCGCCATCCACGCGATGAATTAGAAATCGAAGACAAGGTTGGCGGGCATGAACGCGTGCCTGCCGCTCCGGGAGGAAGTTGTTTCCAGCCTGATTATGCATTCAACGACACACCGTACGCACACGAACGGGAACGTTTCGCGTACCCTATTCACTTACTGTCGATATTACCTGTAGGTGCTTTTTGTCGGGGGGAGGCACAAAAGGGGACCGAAACGAGGGGGGGGAGCGTTGGAAGTTTCGCCCGGTTTCGCCGCGGAGGGGTTGGACTGGCTGGCGCCAGGTTTATCTCTCGACCCCATCGTCTCGGCCTATGTTGTTACGGGGTGTGCCAGAGAGTGACAGAGTGGGGGACATCAAGTGCCAGGGGAGACAGACACGAGGGACGCGGGACCATGAAAATGACGACTCGAAAACGGGGTCCAATAATGCGCTCGTTTCGTATGTCTTCGCCATTCTTCCAACTCGAATTTTGTAAATCGAGGGGCGAAATTTAAAATTAAATTTAATTGGTATACAGCGTAGCATGGAAATCAGAAAAAGACTTAACTACTATTTAATGAAAGATAACAAAAAATGGACTAAACCCTGTTGAATGTACTAATTAATAGTTTCGCGACGCCTGCGATGCAGAGAGCTAATAACCATAAGAAGCAAAACATATCGATATAAATTTATTCTCCCAGAACCAACAATAACAGCCAACAATTCTTTACGAGAAAAATTAAAGAGGAAACTTTAATTTCGACGCTGTTACAGGAGAATCCTCTCCCTCTTAAACTCTGCTTTAGATTATAGAATCACGAACGAAGCAAAAATGAAAGAATTGCACTCGTAAAAGTTATCTGGACATATTTTTTTTGTAAATAAATGCATCGATCAAGATCGAGATTCGGGAGAAGCGAGACGACGGGAATAAAAAGGTTAATAAAAGGGCGGGGAACGGAAAGATAGAGAAAAAGGGGGAGGGTAACGGAGTCCGGCTGTCCCTCTGAACCCCTCATCTGCTCCCGTAGCAGAGGCATTGTGTCAGGACGTAACAACTCGCGATAGTACGACACGGCTTCCCATGGGGCACCATTATCCTGATTTAGCGCCGCGGCTACGACTCTATTTCCTACGCGATTCCCGGCTTGCGCGCCTTCCTTTGTCCGGCTTAGCTTTATTTCAGCGAAAAAGGGAGGAAGACCCCGATCGACGCGTTCGAGTGCTCGTGCATCCCCGGCGTTCTCGTTACGTTTCCTTCCGATGCGATTACGTGACACCAGGTCGAGGCATTGTCGTCCCGGGGCAGTCCGCGTCGGACGTGTTCGCGATGGTCCTCTTAACAAGCTCCACGGTTACGAAAGAACATCGAACCCTGAACACGCTAAAACAAGTCGACCGGTTTTTAAACGATTTTTTCAATTTGTTTCGACGAACGTAGCCGTAAAACTAACTCGAGCGTTCGTCGTAACTGCGGACGCTTTTTTCCCCCGTTTTAATATCCCGCGAGGATCAAACATACTCCATATTGGACTCTTATACACGGTGGTACGGGGCAAATATTTCCCCGTAGACTTTAGCCACGCCATCGAGTTTCCCTAGCCGACTAGTACTCGACAAATGGGGCTTGTAGACATTTCAGTTGCGTCTGGTACTTCGTGTCCTATGATTCCCAGGTATCTTCCAAAGTCGCAGCTTCATCGTTTAGTTAAATTCGAATAAAATCGCGGCGTATCGGTGAACGAAACCAGTCGGAACCGACGGGAAAAGCCCAGCGTCGCGCGGTCCCCCATCGCCCGGGAAACGAAAATAGAGGCGGACGTTTGTATTTGTCAAAGGATATATAAAAGCTAAACATTAATCGCCGTGGGTGGGTGCCTCGGTGTCGATAAATATCGCGACCGCTGGAAATTAATACCCCCGGTAGTATGCAGTGTTTGAAACGAGTATTTACACTGGAAGCAGAGTCCGGAGTCACGATTAAAACAGATAGAGACAGAGAGAGGGTACTGCTAGCCGGATTACGGGGTGCAGTGGATGTGGATTAGAGGAGGGGGGCTGGGGTAGTGCTCGTTAAATAGCCTGCAACCGTAGCTGGGGAGCCTACGACCACGAATAAAGACGCGACATTACCGTTCGGCTCCTTATTATCCCCATTCAGCGAGCCAGCGCGCATAACCGGAGACCCAGGGGCTTGCATCGGTTATTATTAGGGATTCGAGGTATTAAGCGTACTTTGGGGGGTATCGATCTTCTTATTCGGCCACCCTGCGTCATACTTAAATACAATCTTTCGGGAGCTGTGTAATCCTCTTACGCGATGGTATTCCTGGGCCTGCCGCTACGCGGACACTGATAGTGCGTGCCATTGTTTCTTATCCGGAATGATTACGCCTGTGCGTACACGACCAGAAACGAGGGCGTGTACACGCCCTAACAGAGATATTTCGGGGACCGCGTAATCCTATTAACGGAAATATTCCCCATTAGGCGCCCTGCATCTTCATTTTTGCTAACGAGCAACGAGATCCTGGTGAATTTGAAGTTACGCCGGACATAGATTTTTATAAGGGTTTACAGAGTCGATGTATCGGTCGTATTTTTTAATTAGAAGGGAAATCGATGGCGGAAAATGTAACAAACCACGGGGAACTATTTGATATAGGGAAGACGCGTCGCGATATATAAATGTAATTTATCGATTGCGTTCGAATGATATAATGTCCACTGGAACGCACGGATATATCAAGATTAAAATAAAATACCGTTTCCACGGGAGATACCTGATATAGTAAAACAGATGGAATTATCGAGCTTCCTTTAATAGACGAATCTCGAATATTTGGTATTTCTGGAGAATTCTTGGCCAAGATCCTACGCGGAAGTAACTTTTCAACGAGGACGGACGCAGCCACCGCGAACGGGCCTTGATTAGCAATTAATCCGCGGCTCTGCCGTCGATCGATCGATTAACGGAACCGATTTAATCAGCGCCTCGAACACGACTGACCAGTCCTATTAATTAGCGGAATAATCGGATCACAGAGAATTACGTGTTAACCGTACCCCACCTCCGTGTATTACTTTCGGTAATAGGCTCCATTACCGTCTGTGGAACTGATCCGTTACTAATGTCAGCAAGTCCGGCCTCGACTGTCGTCCTAACAATGGAATACCAGATCGCCGCCCCCTCCGAACATTCAGGGAAATTAATTCACTGATAAGTCGCGTGTGACGCGATCGAATTAATTCGCGAGCGTTCGCGTCGGGCCGCGGATTAATTATCGTCGGCGCGAACCTCTTTCCGTTTGCCCCGAGAATTATTACCGTGGCGATAGCTTTCGCCTCGTAAACTGTATCGAGCTCGTTTACCCGTGGATCGATCGTTTTATTCCGGGCAACTCGAAACCGGAGTAAGATTAAATATTTATTTAACACTGAACCTACCACAACCGGGCAAATAACCATTTTTTAAATTTAATTTAAACGAGATTCTAATGGGAGATTCTAGAGGCCAAAATAAATCGAAAATCAAGAATAACAATTGTTTGATTTAGGCTTCGTTAAAAAGTTATTAACGTAAAATTAAAAAATTTCAAATCGTTCTAAAAAAATTATTTTTAGCTGCGGGGGTCGATTACAATCATTTTTGGTCAATAGATATATCCACGAAATCTTACCCACTTTCTAGAAAAAAATTCGAGAACGTGAAATTTTTCGTCGAAATTAGAAAATTTCAAATCGTTCTAAAAAAATTATTTTTAACTACAGGGGTCAGCTACAATCATTTTTGGTCAATAGACATATCCTCGAAATCCTACTCAGTTTCGAGAAAAAAATTCGAGTAGGTCAGTCACGTGCGGTCAATGACCTCGCGCAGATGTCAACAATGAAACGTAAACAGACCCTTTGAACTCATACGATCGACTTGAAATAAAAATCGTCCGGAACTAATTAAGCTATGGATTTGTTCGAATACTCATTTTAAAGGGTTTTTCAATCCATGAACCTAACAACTATTCTAATTTATTACGAAGTTCCAGAAATGAAATGTCGATAAATGTAGTAGTTTGTTATTCAAAGTTTGGGACACACAGCAAGTTGTTTCTGTTCACTAAAACTTGAATAAATAATTCCGAACCGTATCCGCTGCACATTGCAAAGACTCCGTGGATAAAAAGAAATAAACTTTGATGAATCGAGCGCGCGGCACCGGACGTTTACGACGGCCGTTTAAGAGCGGCCTGTACGAATTAGTCTTCCCGATGAATACCGTGGGCTCGGGGCTTTGATTAAAGTCGAGTTCCTGTGCAGACTCTCGGCGACTCTTTCTCGCCCGAGCAAACTTTCCGCGGACGAGTTCAAAGGTTCCCCCGGCTCTCGCGAGCCCGAACAGGACTTCATAGGGACGTGGGAAGCGAACTTACCGTAGAACCAACACTGTTTCTCGCCGAAACGGGGCCGGAGAAACGTGTACTGAGGCTGGGGCGGAAGATGATCCAGAAGGGCGGCCAGGCCGGCGACTAAGAGCGGCCCACCCCAAGCGTAGCACGAGTACACTCTCAGTCTGCGGGTCTCTTGGCCTTTCTCCAAGCTGGCTGGTCTCAGGTCCCTGGAACGGAAAAAGGGAAAAAAAGCTGGTCAACGGGGGCGCGGAAACCACCAAACACAGGATCGTTCTGTGCACTTAAACGTTCCCCTGGAACGCGAACGATAAAACACTCCGACAATCCCATAGTCGAGTTTCTCCTTCCCGTATGGAGAGTTCCATTAGAACGAGCGGGGGGGAATAAAAGTTCCACGGAAACGTTCCACCCCCTCCGAGATTGATGGCCCCGGCGTTTTGCTTAATCAGCGGTAGTTAATGAATACTACTTTTCCAAATTACGTCACCGGGCCCGGGAACAAACAAGCACTTTCATTAGCGTTCCGTTCGATAAATACGCGAATTAAAATTGCAAACATTACGAAAGAGCGAAATTTAAAGCTCCAATATTATGAAAATAGGAGAAATGCTCTCCGAACTATTAATCGTTTGGCTCCCCGGCGTGATCGGAATATTTAACGACCCGGAAAGAAAGCTCGAAAGCGGTAAAACCGTGAAGTGGAGATCGGACGGGCGAAACAATTACCTCAGACGCAATTAATGCATTCCTCATCGAGCACGGACCGGAGAGTTTTTTTTCAAAAGGCCCCGGACAGTTTACCCCCGGAAAGTTTCGTGACCATTTGCATCTCTCCGAGGCAGGAGCCGTGCTCCCGATGTTATTATGCAACTCGCAGACGCTGCTCGTGTTTCAACTTCGAGGCATTGCAAACGACACTCTTGATGTTCTATTTTCGGTTCGCCTAGGTGGCTCCTGAGTGACAATCCTACGATAACTGTGCACGGTCGTTACAGCGGACCAGAGACGTAAACGCGTGCACCCGGAGATGGGCAAAATTTAGACCAGAAACCCCGAACGAGGGGCAAATAAAAGGAATTCTTTGTTCGTTGCTCGTGAAATGGAGAAGAAATAAATAATATGAATATAGAACGCGGTACTTTTTACGTAAATAAATAGAGACGAGCAGATGACCGACGATCTGCTTGCCAGTTGCTCTCGAGTTGCAACGTTTTCTATGAAAACTAACTTTAATTATAGCGTGTGACGTGTTGGTAGGAATGAAGAAAGGATATAAAATTTTTGTACGTTCCTTTGCCTACGTATATTTGCAATTATTTATTTCGATGAACGTGCAAACGTTTACGCTGTCGTCCCGTGGATGGAAATCGCGATTCCACCGATCCTAAACGAAGCGCAATAAGAGGCAGCGTGGAGTTGGCAGCGTTCCAGTTAAAAATGAAACTCCACAAGATGACGAGACGTAATAAAAAGGATGTCGCGACCGGTAGCGATATCAGACACGAGAACCGGGGAATGACGGCCATTTGCCTGTCTACGAGGGTTCGTGACTCCCGAACATGGCGGGCGAATACGCCGCGGTTGATGATCTAATTAACCGTGACGAGCAATAATGCCAGATATGGATACCTTGCTATGCGTTAATTGCTGTGGAAACGTCGCCCGGAGACATTAAACGTCCATTATCCGTTACTCGAATAGTAATTTTTCCCCGTATCAATAAGAATTCGTCTTTGGTTTCTGGATCGAACTAGTGAACATTTTTGTAAATTGCAAGCGTACGTGACTTCGTTATGTTATACAGATGGGGGGGGGTTAATCTCGTTGGTAATTGAAATAAGTAAATAAAAAGAGTTTAATTTCCCATCTGCTGATGGGAGTCTTCTCTTCCTTTTTCGCGGCGACGACCGGGCGAAATTGTTTTTCCAGCGTCGAGGAAGGATAATGGAAATCGAATTGCATTTAATTGCATCGGAAGGGAGGTTGGGGGGCTCGAAGGGAAACGCGACGGTGTCCGTGGATAATAGGGTCACTCGGTGTCGTCGACGAATTTATCGTCGTGGATTATTAACGGGACTTCGAATTCGTTAGATTTCGACCCCGCCACGTACGGGGCCAATGACTGGCCCGCGGAATCGTCATGCTTTGTCATTGTCTGGCTGGTTTAACGTCGCTATAACAACTGCGCCGCGAAAGGGGGGTCTGTTGGGCACCGCGCTCTGGCTCCAACGGGGAGGGTTGTTGCTCGTAAATCGCGTCCTATCGCGAACGACGTTGCCGCGGATATGGCAGACGTCGGCCACCTATTGTCAAAAAGCGAAAGTTAACGTAAAACCAGAGAGAAAACGTTTTCATGGCGCCGTCGCGGCTCCTTCGACGCTGGTGGGACGTAACTCACGCACGGTTATAAATTCTCCTAAATTATCCGATGATGAATTTCTGGTTTCAGCAAGTTTTATCATAATTGCACGGTATGCTGTACGACTCGCGTATAATAACGGTTCTACGCCCGTTGCATGCATGAATAAATAAAATTTTATTCCCTGCGATTGATCGGCAGTTCCACGCGAGTTGGAATTTAAATCTGCTATCTTACTCTTAGCCGGGATTTTATCGTTTCTGATACGCGATGATGGCTCGGCGATTAGGCCCGAGCTAATGGAACGTAATCTCTGTCGCGAGTCCACCGTAAACGTAAGTCGAGAAATACAAGTATGTCAACGCGACGTTGAAAGGGTGGTTCGGCGAGAAGGAGTACGTGTTCTTTCCCTAATTACCTCCGCAATTATTCCCTTAATCACCGAGTCAATTACGACGAGGTGGTCGTAAAGCTGGCGAGTAGTAGATCCACTTGGGCGTGAGTGTTTTTTCGAAAAAAAGGAGGGACGGTCTCAAATTGATCGCTCTTCGTGCTCGATATAAGGGATGTAATTTAAACCTTTGCGCTCCAAACTAAAGAGATATACTCTTGGAAATTACGAAACACAACGATAGTGTAATTGAAACAGATATTTGATTGGATTTGTTCAAATAAAACGCTTAAAAATATAATTCTCGGTGCAAAGGGTTAAATGTATAATACGATGCAAGTTACGGAAGTCGTCGTTTTGCCGGTTCTAATCGTTTAAAAATGACGAGCAAATTCTTGTACTGTGAATCTTATTTTAGAGGAGCGACAGCCTTTTTAATTTCCATGTACGACACCATGAAATTGCCTCGAAATTGCTGGTCGCTGACATCAGGGAAAAATTGTAGAGCAAAGGGTTAAAAATCTGATTGTAGACTCGGCTGAAATAACACGGCACGACGTATGATTAACCGAGCATGTGGAACGGGGCTCACAGTGGCCTTTGTCGACTCATTATGATGTCACTTATTAGACTCCCACTCTGGAAATAACCGTAATTTCTAGGGAAAGCTTCGAGGGATATTCCGGGCGCGTAAAACTGTAAAATGATATTGGTTTGGCAACTATGATAACTATAGATGTCTTTAATTGGATTGTCACGTATTTGTATGTATTTGCAAAACTTCTTGAATGATAAAAATTTCAATAACGATGACGATATCGAATCACAGGTTCAGCTTTTCCCCCGATAAAACTTTCATGAACGTGGAGATGGCAAAAGGTCATTGTTTACATTACACTCGGCTGCTAAATAAATATATTATCAAGTATTTGTAAAAAGTCTCTTCGATAAATACTGTTCGCGATTTCGAATCTCCCGGTTTCTGGGGAAAAAATGGACGATGGTGGATATTAATTCCTGGCGGCACGGTTCGTTCCCGGGGCCGCTAATTAGCCGTCACCGCGGTCGACGCGCGCGATTAGTCCTCGGAGGAAAGTTTCGCTGAAGCGGGGGAGGATGTCTCGCTTCGATGTCGGAACGGCGCCACGATAATTTTCCACCCTCCGCTGGAAACGGAGCCAGAGAGCCCACGGGCCGGTGCCAGGGATCAGGGGGGGAAACGCGTTACAAAATATTCCGGCGGAGAAAATTAGGGGTTAGAGTTCTGTTCGCGGCAAAGTGTATCGCAAATATTTTTCTGCTTCCGTTCTGCACGCGAGGGGGTGGTTTACGCGGAGGCAATTTGCAGACGTCTTCCGCGACGAAGAGGATCGTGCACACGTTAAGATTATAACCCGTTCCCGGTGCACGGGAAGAGACAAAGGTTATTTTTGCGATAATGGATCTCCCCGGGCAAAGGTTTTTCATTCCCCCTATCCGCTCGATGAGGTATACGCGTTCCATTATCGCGGAGCGTGCACACGACGCGGAAGAAAGCCAGAGAAAACGAGTCGGCTTAATCCCGACAAAGGGCTCGTCTCGCAATAGCTTCTTTTAATTTTGTCCTGTTACCGGATGTGTATTTGCGAACGGGATGGGGGGGTGGCGCGAGCAAAGGCGAAGGCAACCCTCCGCGAGGCTGAAAAGCGGATACTTTACAAGCGTCGTCGTTTCTTCTCTCTCTCGTGACGTTATTTAATTACAAACGATGTAAACGGAAACGAACAACGATACATAAACGTAAGTTTAGTTGCTCTAATATGGAAAACTTATAGGAACTGAAATATTGTGAATTTATAGGAAATTTTATACTCTTTTGACTGGTAACAGTCAAATTATTCTTACTTAATGATGATTACATAAATTTTCAAAATAGTTACATTGACGTATATTAATATTGCAGGGGCCCCAATAAAATCCACTTAAGGGTTAAAATATTAGATTTAGGAAATGTTTACTGTTTTTAGCGAGGTCCTCATTTTCCATATTAGGCTCATAGAGTTTTTAGAAATATTACGTTTACGAGATAGAAATTCATAATTTCGAGAATTGTTGCAAAAATTTGATCATGTTCGAAGAAATAGTCGAGCTAACGCAAAGCTAATGCACTTAGCTTATTGTATATAATATTAGGTCAAATATCACACTGCAAAAACTCTGGACTGTGATATTTTCTTCGATATTATTATACGAAAACGAATGTGACGAATCTATGAATAGATTTATCTATTCCATCCAGCACGTATCCACAGCATATATCGTCAAATGTCAGAAACGTGCCACACGGTAATCAATTAACATATAAAAATTATATAAGAATAACAAGTCAACATTCCACGTTTCCCTCGTGTTATTAATCGCGAGAAAGAAAGATAGATACATACACACGCGATATACAAGGCACAGATACGTAATAG